AGTGGGGATAACATGATATTAAAAAATATAAAGCAGACCTTAAGTTATACGAATTGCATAACTGGTTGGTGGTATACCTACCCCTCTGAAAAAAATATGAAAGTCAGTTGGGATTATTATGCCAAATATATGGAAAAATAATCCAAATGTTCCAAACCACCAACCAGATAATATCCTGTAGATAAAATATGGGTTTGTCAGCACAGCAGTCAACTGTGGGTTCAACCAACACGATTGTTCGATTGGAAACGTGGTAGTGTTTGGATACGACCGTATTCCTAGTGGAGTGTGAGATGGTATCCTCCAGTGATGGAACCTTTTCTAATATGTAAAGTCCATGAACTAGTTCGATATCCATATATTAATTATATATAATAAACCGTAGAATTCACCTAGTCACCTGCACCAACTTACAGCTATCCTTTGGGGACCAAACTCAGTGAATTATTTCATGGGATTGATTTAGGGGGAAGTCTACGGTTTCCATCCAATTTTGGGATTATTTGTGGTAGGTTGATAGGTCCGATAGCTTTGATAGATCATTACCGGTCAAAAAAAAAACATCAAACAGCAATGATAAACCACTGGTAAATATTTGGTAAACAAAATGGCACATCATAGTGGCAAATATATATATATATAATATATGTATGTTACATTATAAAACATATGTTCGTGAATTCTTTCTTGAGGTTGCTATATGTACGCTTTCAACTATCTATTGTTTATGCGTCTATGTCTATGTATACATATGTATATATACGTACAGAGAGAAATAGTTGCAATCATGATGTACGTATGAAGGAATGAATGCATGATGAGTGACTGAATGAGTCAATGAACGAACGAATGAATGCCTGCATGAATGCATGAACGCATGCATGCAAGGATGGATGGATGAATGGATGGATGGATGAAACAAACATGTACTACCATCTGGTTATTTAACATAGCCATGGATATATACGACATTATATAGCCATTAAATATCCCATAAATAGCCATGGAATATCCCAGCAAAAATATCCGCCATGGAAAATCACCATGTTTTTTTTCAGTTCGGTAAACCATCTATTTCGATGGGCCGGGCCATCGAAAAACCATGGCGAGCCCTGTTAGATCACCGTGATCCTGAGGGTCCGCTGAGGCCATCGCCTGTCACTAAGACGTCGATCATTTGCGCAAACATCTGCTCGTTGGGAATGGTTCCCTGCCGTGAACAGCCGGCGCTAAAAATCGGCATCATGTCAGATCTGTAAGTTCCAATAAAAAATTTAAAACAAAGTACGTATTTATCATCATTTTAGTGGGAATATGTTTGTTAATCTTTTGGGGAGTTTCTATATATATATATTATTAAACAAATATATATATATATATTAATGTGAAAAGAAACATCATGTATAATTCACAAACTTAAATGGTACAAAACTCTCTGCACATCAGTGCTGGACTAAGCTCCACTTCAATGCTGGACGAAAAAATGGCACGTCATAACTCGCCGAAATGGCCATTCACCGGAAAAGTTGCGGGTACCAACCGGATCCGGCTGCCAGGGCTTTGATAACCATAGCCATACCAATGTAAATCATATGTATATTCATACGGTAACTACATTTAAATATACGCACTTTTAAATATACGAACAGGTATTTTAGACTACCTCCCGGAAGGTTTTCCTTGGCCCGCCCGGCCATTTAAACATACGGAATCCAATTCATTTAAAGATCCGGTAACTACATTTAAATATACGAACTGGTATTTCATACTACCTCCGGGGCCTCGCGGTCTGGCCCGCCCTCCACATATTTAAATGTCGTTACCGTATGTTCAATCCATCATAGACATCGACCAATCACCAGCTCCCCAGTCCCCATCATGTGCGCCTGTTGGCGAATGCACTGCCAAAGTTCCTGCGCTTTATTGATCTGATCCGTTGAACCATAGGCCTGAACACAGCGACCCCTGGAGACGAGGGCCGGGCCAATCGGGATGTAGGGGATGATGCTGTGATCGGGCCAATTTTTAGGAATCTTTAAGATAAATCAAGAACCCAAGATTTGCTTAGAACCAATCTTTAGGTTATTTAGGAATCTTTAGAAACTTGGATGTGCTGATGAACCCAAGAACCCTTGTGGATTTTACCACTAACATAAGAAATTCATCTTCAACAAGTCCAAGTTTGGGGTAGCCATATTGTCTGGCAAGATCCATTTCAGGGAAATGCCATGACATGATATGACATGATGTCAAGTGTTCGCCAAGTGATGGCAATTCAAATGAGCCACTATACCAAATCAACCCCCAAACATTAAGAAATTGCATGTATCACTCTTCTAGCAGGACTGAAAGTGAAATCCCACTAAAATTGTCTGGATGAACAATAAGAATTCATCAACCTGAAAAGTGCGGTCAATTTGGTATACTTCCTATCAACCCTTATCTACAATAACGTCAAGTTGCGACCTTGTTATACGTCATCAAGAAGAAATCATGGCCATGGCGTGCTAAAGAAAATAGCCGTGTCACGGGGATTTTCCAGCCATGTTTGAGGACACCGGAGGGTACGGGGAGGTGATTAAATGCGCACCATATTCCATTCATATCCCATTATCTCCAGATATTTGCCAAATATACCCTCTGGTAAACTCGCAGTTTGCGAACTGGAAAATCATCATCTTTAATAGGTAAATCAACTATTTCTATGTGCCATTTTCAATAGGGGTACCCCGAAATCATCCGTCTATAGATGGATGTTCCATTATAAACCATCCATTTTTGGGTACCTCCATTTATGTCAAATAATAAATAGGGGTAAATCAACGAACTAAATGGTCATGTTCAATAGCAAACTGTCAAATATCCCATTACAACATCATTACTCACCATTAACCAACATCATTAACCATTATTATCCATGATTAACCATCATTAACTGGTTGGTGGTTTTAACCATCTTGAAAAATGATGGAGTTCATCAACGGGAAGGATGACAACCCATATATGAAATGGAAAATAAAAGCCATGTTCGAAACCACCAACCAGTTTTCCTCATCACCATTAATCATTAACCAACATCATCAACCATTATCCATGATTAACCATCATTAACCATTAACCAACCATCATGGTGTTAACCATTAACAATGGTCATTTCAGGAACCTAAATTGGAGGTCCCTACCATATATAAGGCCTATGTAAGGCCTATGTACCTAAATTTCAGGGAATATCCCCACAAAATATGGCCTGAAATATGGTACGTTTACGTACCTCCATTTTAGGATCCTGGAATTACCATTGACATTAACATGTCAAATTCCCAGAGGCTACGTCTCCAAAGGTGACCTGCTTCCCCCAGGCACCTTGATGAGAGCCGCATAGCTGTTGGAGGTAGCACCAGACCACAGCAGTGGCATGTCCCATTGACACCTCGGACATCCCAGTGCCATGGGGAAATCCTATAGAAAAACCAGCCATGAATCCCGATATATGTTAAGGCTTGGACATATACTAAAACTGCCAAGCAACCCAATTTGCAAATGACGTGATTCTGAGGCCATTGGTGTGTTTTATGAATTTTAAAAATACTGGGCTGCTGGGAATGGGTGCATGTTTTTTTCCATCAAATCAGCAGAAAATTTATATATGTGATTATATGATTCATATATAATCCCATTACACAGCCTGACATTTCATACATCGAACCCCAGGAAAAAAAAACATAGTGCTCTTAATCAACCCGCAAAATTACTCCCATGTTGTTTCCAGATTCAGAAATTGAAAATGCCGTATGTTTATACCATCCCTCAAACAACGTGAAGAGCTGACTCAGTCGATGAGAGAAGTCTTCCAACCCCCAATTCATGGCAGGGTCTATGTTACTTGTGGGGCGGATAGATTAGTTAAGTATTATAATCTCATCCCCCTAATATTAGACAAAACACCCCATAAATGGTAAATGCCTTAACAAGCCATGATTTCTAGGTGGTATTTAATAATTGCATTCACTATGATAGATTATATAAATATATGTATTAGTATCAACTATTACTACCTATAGGGGAAGGGATTCACTGTCATAGATTATACACATATCACATATATATATATATATGTTAACTAGTACTAACTATAGTCGACTGTAGTGTATAGTTTCATAGAAGCCATATATTTCCCCATAGTAACTATAAGATCAAAAACAATCATATACACACTATTGTCCACTAGCAATAGCTTTTATTAACTAGTTTTCATTATTAGCTTCTATTGTAGGTTTACCTCCTATAGGTGTTTTCACTAGTAACTTCACTATTGTGAACTAGTATTATAACCTGCTTTCAAAAAAGGATTCCAAATTCACCCCATTGCCCTCTGGTAAACCAACAGTTTGCGAACTGGAAAATCATCACCTTTAATAGGCAAATCAACTATTTCTATGTGCCATTTTCAATAGGGGTACCCCGAAATCATCCGTCTATAGATGGATGTTCCATTATAAACCATCCATTTTTGGGTACCTCCATTTATGTCAAATAGCAAATAGAGGTAAATCAACGAACTAAATGGTCATTTTCAATAGCAAACTGTCAAATATCCCATTAAAACATCATTCATCACCATTAACCAACATCATGATTCATTAATATCCATGATTAACCATCATTAACCATTAACATGTCAAATTGCCAGAGGGTATTGCAGCACTTCCATCCGCACCTCTTCAAAAAGGTGAGAAACTGGTTAAGCCTTGGCGTGTCGCGCAGCGCGACGCATGCCTGCGCGGCCGTGAAGGGCCCAGGGTGAGTCCTATGGCCGCTGGGGAGTAAACCCACAGAAAAAAAAAAACACCCGCATTTTGAGGGAAAATACCCGGCCTGGTCAACGTTTACAGTTTGTGAACTTGAAGCCATGGCCCAGTCGAAATAGTTGATTTACCCATGAATAGCACGGTGATGTTCCATAATTTAATGTTTGTTTACCAGAGGGTATGTCAAAATGATGATTAACCATGATTAACCATCAACTCTTGGAAAATATCTTATTTTCAAACAAACCCTAAAAGTGGTTAAGCCCTAAAAGTGTGGTTTCTTAAAATGAATATCCAAAACCATAGACCATAGGTTTCAATGCTAAAAGGGCAGGTACTTCATCAGGTTGGCAAGTTCAAGCAGTTTCAATCGGGATAGACTGGGGACTACATGGTTTACGGCCATTTTGGCAAGGATTTTTTATGGGATACGTGTTCTCAACAAAAAAGGCGTCAAAAAAAGTGAGGAAAATATACAGAATAAGCCCAATATGTGATGACAATTTCGCGCCAAATGATGATCAACAAGTGGATTTTCAGTACCATATTTTTCTGGTTGGTGGTATACCTACCCTTCTGAAAAATATGAGTTCGTCAGTTGGGATGATGAAATTCCCAATACTGTAGATGGAAACATGAATTTCATGTTCCAAACCACCAACCAGTTGTGGACAAACCCAGAAATAGGAAATCATGGATGATGGAAAACAAATATGGACCAATTGATGGAATGAGCGGTGAGATTCTCAAGCGTGGTGAAACGGGACCAAGCGATTGCTTAATTAAAATACCCATAGGATCCATGTATGGTATATATATGCTAACATTGGGGGTATATTGATGGTAAATGTTACCATATATATATATATAGCATACATGGATCCTATGGGATATGGGTAAAAGTCAAAATTATAAGACCCGTGGAACCAGGGATTCTGGAAATGTTGACCACCAACAATCCCGCTTTAGGGGAAAGCAACTAATTTTGAACCAGTTCCATACAGGGAATTACGATAATAGGAAATCAACAAGATTGAGTCCCACAGCCAAACAAAAACTGTAAATTAGAACGTAAATGAACATCAAAATTGGTAGCAAATATGGGGATGACATGGTGATAATAAAATAAGCAAGAATAGATATGACTTGAATCTATCACCGGTGAAACGGAAGTATTATAATTAGCAACGGAAATAAAGAGATTCCGCAATAATCCCTTCAAGACATATGTAATTGGTAACAGAAATGAGACACACCCATAAAAAATTCAGTTTAAGTGGGTCAAAGAGTTTCGCCCCTCGTTTGGGGATGATGTCCCCAATCCTAGCCATCTATGGTGAAGTCAAATGCCGTCGTTATAAGTTACAGACCAGTAATCAAACATGGCAATGGCCATGAAGAATTCCCCGTTCATAGATGATTCTCCCAGTGAAACCCCTGTTTTTTCATAGGGATTTCCACTTGCCAGTTCCGGGACGATACATCCCATGAAATTTGATTGAATCCCAGATTGATGATATTCCCATTAAACTATTGGATAGTTGTATTCATATTTCATATGATCAATAATGTCCCTTTGGTAAAAATAGAGGGGCCGGTTTGGTATACCATCTATCATCATTTAATTAATCAACCAACCAAAGGACATCTATGCATATGATATTCCATAGGTGCCCAGAAATGCCATTGATAATAATAATAATAATAGATGGCACCGATTTTCCCATGAACATCTCCATTGATGCGGGATGTCCATGTTCTGAAAAACTGCCCTATTTGAAGACACGAAGCGGGTACCCAGAAGGGATTTTATCCCCATTCATATTCCGTTGATATCCCATTATATCCAATTATGTCCAAAATTGTTCCCTTAAAATCAATTCTTTCCATACATGCCCTATATATGTCCCATTCCCACACATCCACTACCTCTAGGATGATGTTCACCAACTGCTCATCCAACAGCTTTGGGTGCCTGCTTTTTCGAGAATCCAATGGAGCTGTTCAAGGGGAAACCAGTTGTAACCACCAATGGGCGGAGTTCAGCCTCAAAAATTAAGGCTTCACCATCCAAAAATCAGATGCGAAGATTTCGCTATGCTTGGAACACGCTTGAAACTCAGCAGGAAAGCCTGCAGAGAAAAAATCGGCGAGAATTTTTGGGGTGCCTATCGAGTTGTTTTTTTTTAAAGCAGCCGATTCATCTCCAAATAGCCATGAGTTTTTTCGGGGAAAATGATGGTTCACCATCAAATCCATCTGGAGGGTGAAAATGGATCCCCAAAATCATGCGTTTCAATACTAAAAGGATTTAACCACTTGGATGATTTGGGGTCTTTCTATTTTGGGAAACCTTGGATGGTATTGTCCCAATATATTATATTCCATTATATTTACCCTCTGGTTATTTAACATAGCCATGGAAAATCCCAACCATAGATGGAGGTTTCTAGCTGGGAAAATCATCTATTTCGATTAGGGCCATCTATACCATGGCTGTGTTAGTCATAACCAGAGGGTAACCATAGTTATTCCATAGTTATTCCCATCACTGGGAGGCAACTGGAAAATCAAACACCATTTAGTATATTATATTCCATTATCGCAGGAAGTTTAGAAGTCAAACTTCCGACAATATGGACAGATGAAAAGCAGAGGAGGGCAGAGGCAGAGAGAAGAGGAAGATTAGAAG